CTATGATAATTTAATTGATACTAACATATTACAAGAGGGTGTAAGGAAAAAGTCACGAAATAAATAAAGAACTAACATAATTTTCCATAAATATTTTCAATTTTTCTCTTATAAATTAAGTAAAACCTTTGTTAATTAGATTCATATTTTATAGCTTCAAAATATTAAACATGGCATTTAGCATCTCAAAATTTCTTTGTAGGGTTCTTTTCATTACGTTTCTTATTTCAGGTATTTAACTTTTTATTTGTGCTTATTTATTTATTATTGATTACCTAAAAATCAAATCAAATTAGAATCTATTTCATGTTATAAGTAACTTGTGGAGTTCTATATTTATTTACTATTATTTAATTTAACTCATGGCCAAGATTCTTAATATGTCGTAGTTAGATTCTTAATTTTCTATTCATTGTAATTTTTGTAAAGAATATTCCTTGAAAATGGTTAAATTCTTATATATTGACTGTATATTATTATATATTTCAAAAAATAATTGGCAAAATAAACAAATAAAATTGACAAAATCAAAGACAACGAAAAATCAATTTAAATAGTTTAATTTCAACATTTGGAAACCATCTTCATTGGTTTTGGCTGTCCTTTAGGAAAAAAAAAATAGACCAAAATTGAATCATTGATTTCTTTAATCTGATAACATTTTTTTTTATCATTAAACATTTATATATTCTACTGAAAATTGAAATACCGAAGTTATTATTTAAAGTTATAAAATAATTCCAATAAATATTTCTTAATTGTAGGATAAAACCAAACAATTTACTGATATATTTTTTTTCTTTTTATTTTATTATGTGACCCTATGTGACTCACATTTGTAGATTGATACTAAAAAATTTATAATAAATTTAATTTTCAGGTTTGGTCCAAGTTGATGGATTGAAATGTTGTGGTGATACTCATATTGGAAGTTGTGATCCAGGCTCTAATGATGATACAAGATGTGATAATTTGTGTAAGCAAAATTGTATGGGTATGGGAGGCCACTGTAAAATTATAGGCTCAAAATCTCCCAATCATTTTTGTCATTGTTTTTGTTAATTCTCGTTGATGAACGAGAGACTATATATTAAGCTTTAGTATTCATATATTGCAAAGTCTAGAAGACTTAATTTTATTTTTTTTGGATGAATAAAACAGGAAAGACATAATTTTTTTTTTATTTTAAATATGTCATCCTATTTATGTATAGCAAACTTTTTAAAATTTCTAATTTTAAATATTCATAGTATTTCTGTAATTATAAAAATTTCTCGATGAGAAAATATAAAATAGCGTTGTATATTTTTTTTGGGATGTATACTAATAATGAAAAAATATCAAATAATGTGGGTCAAAAAAGTAATTGATAGTGCAAATGTGTTTCTCATTCACCAAGGTATAAGAAAAAGTCTTACTATTTATAAACGATTTTTTACTTTTAAGGAAATGAACTATATGGTAGTGTTGTAGACTTGATCTCATTCGTTTTCACCTAATGAATGTCTAAACTTGTCATTAAAAAGATCATAAAGTGTATTTGTTTTGTTTAGTATTTTAATCACTTAATAGGTCTTAATAATTAAGATCTAAAACAAAGTCTTATTTTCATTAAGAGATATTATTGGGTGAAATATTCAGCATCACTCTATCTATAATTATCATGACCATCACCATTGTCAATCATTATTATCATTGTTTACCATCAATCACACTTGTCATCAAAACCACCATCATTGCTAACTTCAACTATCAAATGCTACCAGACTTACCTCTTTCATCATTATGATTATATTCATTGCCACTACAACTATTATCTCTGTAGTTGTTGTGGCAGCTACCGCCACCACACCACCACCGCCTATGTAGTCATCGCCACCTTCACCATCACTCTCACCACTATAGTCAATTCCTACTACTGACAAAATCTACCATCACAACTAACATCGACGTCAACCACCACCATATTTCTTCAGTTACCACCACCTTCACCACCTCCTCCATCACTACGTCACTAGTCATTATCTTAACTATCCGTCGAGTTTAGACCTATCTTCCTTCCTTCTGATCTTTTGCTATTATTATTGACCATAGAGTCAATCTTTACCACCAGTCACCTCAATCATCATAACTAGCTCCACCGCCACCTATCACAAATACATCACCAACTATCACACATTCTTCCACAACCACCAACTATAGATTAACATCAACTAACCTTATCATTACGACCACCAACACCACTATCAACTGCCTCAACACTAAAGTTCTCCATCGTCTCAACTATCACCACCATCATTACTTGTCACTAACAAAAACAATTATCATCACCACTATCAATACAAACTATCTCCACCATCACTAGCAATTAGAAATATAATTATTTCATATTTTAATGACTTAAGTCATCGATAGCCCCTTAAAGTTGTCCGCATAATTCATTCAGACACCTCAACTGAGATTCTTACCTAAAAGACACTTTAATATTAACGAATATTTATCTATTGAACATAAAATGATAACTAGCTTTACAAATATAGTGCGTGTAATGCACACGCATTATCTTGACAAAATTACTAATACAATTACGACACGTGGCACATGGGCCCATAATTTTAATTTTGAAAATAAAATATATCTTTTAGCCTTTAATAATATAGAAAAAAAATTAAATTGATAAAAATAATCTTTCCCCCACCCCCACCTAACCCCCAGCCCATCTAATGTATTGCCCCTTTCTTCTTCATCTTCTTCTCTGTTGTTCCCCAATCGCCATTCACCATTGATTCCTCAACGATAACAAAAAAGAAAATGTCTAACCCCATCACATCCCGAATTCACCCACCAAATCTTTTCCTCTTTATTTTTCTTTGTTATATTCTATTCATCCGACAACTATTCCGATTTTGTAAATATAATTGATCTTGATAAATTGTTTCAAAATCTACAACGAAGAGAAATTAAAATTATATCAAATTTTAATAGCATTTATAATAAGTTTATGAATGGTGATAGTTTCTCAATCGGAGTTATTGAAAATAAAAATGCACAAATATTGATCAATCAATTTTTTAACTCCAAATGGTCCATTTTTTCCTTCTTCTTGAAAATTCAACAGGTACTTTGTTTACAGAAAATGAAAAAAAAAAAAGAATCATAACAAAAGGCAGAGAAATTTGAAGTTTTCAAAATGGTGAGTTGAAGAAGAAGATGAGTGTGTGGGTGTTTTTTTTAATGATTTAAAAGATTAATGTTTGATTAAATTAATTTTTTTTCTATTTAGTCGATGTATCCCAAGTGTCAACAAAGTAAGTATAAATATTTTTTTAAAAAATGCATTCACGCGCTCAACAACGGTGAGATACACTTATTTTGCCACATCAACATTTTGTGTTTAATAGGCACGTGTCTTAAACAATTTAGGTGTTCAATAGGTATAAGTCCTAGTTCAAGTGTCTGTGTGAATTATGTGGACAATTTTAAGGGGCCGCAAATGACTTAAGCCTATTTTGGTCAAATAATGATTTCATTTTATTAATTATTTTTAGATATTTAATTTTAAAAAATTGAATTGTATATTTATTGTGTACATATAAATAGACTATGTATATTCAGATGTTGAAAAGATTATTATAATCATCTAGATGTGCATTCAGATTCAAACGTCTTAATCTTGATGAAAACAAATGAGGCGTCAGACTAATTCTAAATTATTTATTAGATTTTAATAGGCTAATAGAAGTCTATCTTCTATTTTATTTGTAACAAAGATAGGACAAATATTTATTTGTTCAATCTTATATGTGCCTATGTATCTTTTGTGTACAATCAAAGTCGAAGAGAATAGATGTCATTATTAGCAGAAGTCAAGTAAAGCAACACATTCATGTATTGTACCTTAATCAAAAGGGAAAATTATATATGATGACAAACTATTAATTCAAATTAAATGCTATAATCACACTTTGATTTAATTGTGCCCCGTAACAAACTGTTTGTCAGTCGCCTCTCTTCCTCAAACACTCGCTCGCCACTCTCCCTCTGTTGCTCGCTCCCATTATCGCTCACCTCTCTTGCTTTATACTTGCGTTTCTATTTGTTCTATTTGTATAAAGCGAGAGAAAATTGTATATATGCAAATGCATATATCTTCGTCCTATACACTTATAATTATACAATACAAATATTCTCTTGTCCATTCTTTTTTGCCTTTCTCTCATTCTCGCTTTATACAAACATAGATTATACAAAATATTTATGTTTGTATAAAGTGAGAGAGAGAGAGACCGATATTTGATATACAAATGTTTTATTTCGATTCAATTATATACAAATTCAAATTTAATACATATATACAAACACATAAAATTGAATTGAGAAGCTGTCAACGATTTATATTTATAGTGAAATAGTCATAACATGTTTATTATGGAGCGCAATTATGCAAACTATAGTTACAGCATACAAATATGAAGTTTCTGTTTGCTATATGTGACAGTTATTTCAATAAAAATAACATAAAATTGGATAAAAATATACCCACACCCTATTTACACCAAGCTTATCGATTCATGACATATTCTTACACATAAATCCTTAGCAGTTACTCACAGTTAATTAATATGCATTCTCCCCTAATTAAACCACTTAAGTATTTCTCAAGAGTTGTACAAATAAGTTGAATTTTCATAAATGTAAAGTTATGAGAATTGTCCAAAAATGTTGTGTTTTCATGTCTACTAGCTATAACTATGTTGAATAATTTATAAATTTAAAGGGTATTAAAAATATCTCGATGATTTACAAATTACATTTAAGAATCATGTCAAAAAATCTCATCGATACCACTAAACTGAATGTTTAATGTATTTTCCATTACATTGATTGGCCTTAATTCTCCCAAAAACTAATCCACAATAATAGGAGAAATAATGAATAACCATAATATGTGGGTGACAATATTGATATAACAAAATGGTCATTAGTCGTTACATAATAATTATGAAATTATGGACCATGTTAATTTTGTCCTAAAAAAGTCCTAAACAACCTCTATATTGAACATTTGTTCTGTTCTTTTACCCAAAATTAAGGATCTTTTTCTTTCTACTCTTTCCTTTTCTTTCTTTTTTGCCAAAAGAAAAAACTTTCTATTTCATTTCTTTCAGAAAAACACCAAAATTGTATTGCTAGATACTCAAATGGTATGTTTTATGTACTTTTTTCCTTTCACTTTCATAAATCATATTATGTTTTAACATAGCTAGATCTTGAGTGTTTTTCTTTACTATATGGTACATAAGTTGTAATGTATTGGTGTATTCTATTACGTGATATGTCTAAGTATGATAATATTATTGAAAAATGAATAATATATCATCAAAAACTATCAAAGGGGAGTGAAAATGTAGTAGAATTCCTAAAAAGAGACAATGATTTCAAGGAGTTTATGTTCAAATATTCAATTGCCCTAACTTTAAGGGCCAAGCTATATGGTTCGAAGGAAATTCAGTTGAATCCTATTCATTGGTAAATTTTGACTATGCAAATAAGTTTAAAAACAACGTTTATCATATATTGTTAAATTCCCTTGATGGAGTCTTGAAGTAATGGTAAAACGATCTCCATGTGACTTATAGATCACGAATATTATATCCCTTTGGAATGTGGACCTTCCCTGAGTCCTACGTAAACGCGAGATGCTTCGTGCTCCTAGCTATCCTTTTTTTTGTTAAATCCCTTTTGACACGAGGGAATCTTTTAGTGTAGTAGCAAAGGTGGCTCAAAATTTGTTTTAAGTGGTAGGTTCAAATAGAAAATGTGATATTCTTACATTTTCTTGAATTCCCTTACGGAAATTTCTGGCACCACTTTCTAATGTTAGGTGACCTGTAGATCACAACATTACTTTTGGGTCATTGGATCCTACATAAACACGAGATGCTTCATGCTCCTAGATACCTATTTTTGGTTAAATCCTTTTTGACACAAGGGTATCTATTAGTGTAGTAGCAATGACAATTTGTTTTAGGTGGTAGATTCAAATAGAAAGTGTGACATTCTTACATTTCTTGAATTCCCTTATCAGAATTTCTAGCTCTGTCTAATGTCATGTGACCTATAGATCACAACATTACTTTTAGGTGTGGCCCTTCCTTGGGATCCTATATAAACATGAGATGCTTCATGCTCCTGGCTAAATTTTTTTTTTGAATAAATCCCTTTTGACACAAGGGGATCTTTTAGTTTAGTAGAAAAAGTGGCTCAAAGTTTGTTTTAGGTGGTAGGTTCAAATAGAAAGTGTGACATTCTTACATTTTCTTGAATTCCTTTATGAGAATTTCTTGATCCGTCACTGTCTAATATTGTGTGACCTATAGATCACAATATTACTTTTGAGTGTGGCCCTTCCCTGGATTCCTATATAAATCTGAGATGTTTCATGCTCCTGCATACCTTTTTCTTGGTTAAATCCCTTTTGACACAAGAGAATCTTTTAGTGTAGTAGAAAAGGTAGCTCAAATTTGTTTAGGTGGTAAGTTCAAATCAAAAGTGTGACATTCTTACATTCCTTTATGAGAATTTCTGGCTCCGCCACTGTCAGGAAATAACACAGTCCGTGACATGGTTTGTTTATTATCTATGTATGTCTTCTATCTTTCTTTGTTTTTTGTTGGATAGGCGAATTCGGCATCAGGAATAGCAGTGAGTGATGAATGCAAGCTGAGGTTCTTGGAGTTGAAAGCAAAGAGGAACCATAGGTACCTAGTTTTCAAGATTGATGAATCTGTTCAGCAAGTTGTGGTTGAGAAAGTTGGTGGACAGACGGAAACACATGATGATTTTGCTAATAGCATGCCTCCAAGTGAATGTCGTTATGCTGTTTTTGACTATGATTGGACTACTGATGAAAATGTCCAGAAAAGCAGGATCTTCTTTGTTGCTTGGTAAATCATTTTTATCACAACCTATTTAACTTCGCTGCTCGAATCCTTCAAAATTGTTGTTAGTTATACGTCACATCTTTCAAAAGTTTTTCATTTTTAAAAGATCTAACACGGGTGCACTGACATTTTTGAAGTATCTGAACAACATAACTACCAATTATCTATCATTTAATATGTTTTACTTCTTGAATTGTGAGTCTCTAAACCTTGTCAAAGAACATATAGTCTTGATATTTAGAACATATAGTCTTGATATTTAATAGAGTCAAATCTTGATGAGATATTATGTCTATATACCATTTTCTCCGTTTCAAAAAGAATGATTTTCTGTTTTTGATAGCTACGTTCCACGTGGCATGGTTAAGGCCACAAGAGTAAGGGGTAATTTGTAGATTTGACATAAATTTAATTTAGAATCACATGATAAAAATCTTCTTTATTTTCTTAAACTTCGTATCAAGTCAAACTAGACAAGTGTTTGTGAAACGGAGATAGTATTATTCAAATCTTGTCTCAAACTTTGTGGCTCACACTCTTCAAAAATGTTTGCATGTCCGATTCTTCAAAAGTAGTGTATTTTTGAAGAATCTGATACAAATGCAACATTGAAAGCGGATTCCTATGTTGCTCAGACTCTTCAAAAATATTTACATGTCCGTTTCTTCAAAAGCAATATATTTTTGAAGAATCTGACACAAATACGATATTGAAAATGAAGATTCTGCACAATTTAGGTCACACATTTAAGGCCGCCACATGTACAAAATTGTAATGCAATACTAAATATAGTCATGTCAACAACTCATCTTACCATATCACAACTTCATTTTGATATGTAACAAGACATGTCTTAAAAAGCTCACAATTTTTTTTATGTGTGATTTGACAATGTTGGATTGTGTGTGTGTGTGTATAGGTCACCAGAGACAGCAAGGGTGAGAAGTAAGATGTTGTATGCAAGTTCGAAAGACAGATTCAGGAGAGAATTAGATGGTGTCCAAGTTGAACTTCAAGCTACTGATCCAAGTGAGATGAGTTTGGATACCTTTGTTGGAAGAATCCATTAATCTCTCTCAATTTCACATACTTTTTGGGCCTCTATTCATTACTATATTAAGGGCAATTTCACATACTTTTTGGGCCTCTATTCATTACTATATTAAGGGCTTTTTTAACATGTTTAGTCGCTGGCCCAGAAATAATTAGACTCCCTCACCAATATACAAAAAATATATACATAAAACTAATGTATAAAATATGTATATTTTTTGTATATTATAGGTAATATGCAGAAAATATACATTTTACTGTCTATTATTTTGGTGGGCAACTATTAAAAAAAAATCTTATTTAATTTGCCTTTTGGACCTTTCTTTGTTACTACTAGTTTTTAAGGAATTGTGTTGTGATTTCTTTAACTAAAATTTTTTTCAGTTGTCTTTTGAAATTTTTGATTTGTAAACTATTATTAACATGGTCATGTGACATTGTGATGAAATCCTTTTATATTATTATATTATTTAGTTGAGTTTTATTCCTTCTTTCCTCGAACTTTTGATTTTTGACTCTCCATTTTTTCATTAAAAGATCATTTCACATCCTTAGCTTGTTGTACGGAAACAATAAAACCAATATATATATATATATATATACACACACGAACGAACTGAGCTTTATCTTCAACTAAATCTAAATTGATATCAAATATTTTTAGTTCCTTCCGTGTGATCTTAAGTTTGTTCCATTTATTTTTAGGGATTGTTTGATAGTGTATAAAAATAATATAAAATATAGTGTATTAGTAATGCCAATATTAATTATGTATTACATAATTTTTTTAGAAAAATACTTTTTCACAAAAATACACTCCCCAAGTATAGTGTAAAGGATGTAAAAAAAGTTTTTGAGGGTAATTATGTCTTTAATATTGTTAATGCATGTATTAGAATCCATTACATAACTAATGCATAGAAATCGATGGCATTAGTAATAAACTCTTCAATACACAATGAAGTGTATTACTAATACAAATATTAGATATACATAGATTAGAAAAATATATCAAATATAATATGAATAATACATTAAACGAATATAAATATTATTTTCTTTAATACACTCTACGAAATAACCCCTTAATATCATATAATATCGATTTTATGATTAGTCCATAAATATAATACCTTTCGCCTTCTTGGCCAGAGGTGGTTCTACAATTTCTAAAAAAAGGGTGTATCATTAAATATAAGGAAAAAATACTAATAGTGAATTTTTTTTTTCGGTCAAATACATTACTTGAACCTTCTTAAAGCATGAGTTTTTTCAAATAATATATTATAAAATGGTAAAAATTAAAGGCATAAAATATCTAATTTTATAAAAGCATCATAAATTCACATATATCATATTCACAAATTATTGTTTTCTTACTTTTACGGAAAGATCATTAATATTTCTTCATTTGGATTATAGCATATTTCATTATTATAATTTCTTTTTCTTTTGTTTAAATAATATGAGTAATTTTGTTCTTAATTCTCATATCTTTCTTTTTCGTTTTTTTTAGCAGCTTTAAAATATTTTTCATATTAGAAACAGTTTTTGATAGATAAAAAGTATAATTAGCATATATCAATCTTGTTATATTTTATTTATAAAATTATATTAAATATGTTATTACGAGTGTTTCTGTAATATACTTTATATAGTTGATAGATGATATCCATGTTTACATGAAGGTGGCATAATATACAAAAGCCACGTTTTCCACCCTCGAAAAAAAATTTAATTAATCCAAATATCAAAAAGCAGCCACAACTTTTTGTTGTTTTGCTGAGTTTAGATATTAAATAAATACTCCCTTGCTCAGGATATTTATGAATTTGGATAAATTAATAATATTTAAATTAGTTATAATTTTACCCAAAAAAAAAAAGTTAAAAATTGACAAATTGTATACATATATTTTACTATGATACATGCATGATATATTATTTTTATAAATAATTTTAAATATTTTATATGTATTTTTTATCAAAATTTAATATAATTTACTGATGAAAGCAAAAATGAGCAAGGTGAGAATATCTATCTTATTGCATCATGTATATGAATGTTTATGACGATTCTTTATGTGATTAAAGATATTATTATCTCTTCCTTTTAGATCAAATAATGAATTTCGAAGCATTATGCATAGTAAACAATAATTGAAAGTTATGTAATGTTAGTCAATTTAACTATTTTTGTTTTAAATGAATTTATTTTTATCTATAGTTAATAATCGTATAATCGAATCAACCAAAAGAAAATTAATAACAATCAAATCAATATATATATATATATACATTATATTTGATTTTATTTAATTTTAATAATTTTAAAACCAATTAAATTGGTTATACTTCGATTTAACCAACAATCAAATTAAACTACCGTATATGAACGCACCTAGTTCGAAAAGGTATATTGACTTTAACAGTAAAATCAAATATTAAAAAATTAAAAATTATATATTTAAAAATTAAATAATAAAATATTATAAATTATAGATTTAAAATAAAATGAAATATTTTTTTTTTTAAAAAAAAGGTCTTTTTTAAAAAAATATTTTCATAATCAAAATGATACCCTATAAATAGATGGTGATGAAATAATAAGCGGTGGGAATTTTGGAACTATCCTTAAAAAAAAAAATTGTTAAAATATTATCAATTTGCTAATAAATATTACTTATATACTATTTATTTATTTATTTAATAAAAACATTAAACATGGTTGTTAGAAATTGAGTAATAGAGAGTTTGATGAAAAAGTAAATAGGAAGAAATGGAAGCAGAAGTGGCAACGCAAATAAAGCAAGAACCACCACTTGCATCCATAACTACTCCAAACGACGTCGTTACTCCCACACCACCACCACCACCTCATCATACTACTACTACTACTCTACCTCATCAACCTCTCACACCTCAAGGTATAATAATTAACGCATAATATATAAATGTGTTTAATTTAGATTTATTTATTTTGATTTTATGTGTATATACTACAAAGCTGAATAACTAGATACGTGAGTTTTATGAGACATAATACACGTAAGAAATTACTTAGGATAAATATACTTCGGTAGGATATGTATATCTACTTAGTTAACTTTATGTATATTTAAGTGTTTATTTCTCTGAACCAAAAGTTAAAAGGTATGAATGTGAGACGATACCAAATTAATTTGTTTGGAACTGAGCCATAGTAATTGTTTGTATGAGTACTAATTTGAGGGTGTACACCGAATCCATTCAATTTCTTTGAAATGATAGAAGTACTAATTTGTTTGGAACTGAGCCGTAGTAATTGTTTGTATGAGTACTAATTTGAGGGTGTACACAGAATCCATTCAATTTCTTTGAAATGATAGAAGTACTAATTTGTTTGGAACTGAGCCGTAATAGTTGTTTGTACTGAGTACTAATTTCTTGGCTCATCGTTTTCTCTAATTACTGCATAGTTTTCCTCAGAATCCAAAATGAACTTTGCCCTAATTCATTGCCTGATAAATAACTTCACAGCTAGTAAACTCAACCTCTCTGTATAGTTGTCGTTTTTTTCTGAAAAGCAACGCGATTTTTGAATTACTAAGTAAGTCACCACATTATTGCATATATGATATATCTCGAGGAGACTATCCGCTCTCTGGATGCTCGTTGTGATTCTCTGATATCGTGATGTATGATGTTATTGTTTTCCTGATTTTAACAGATACCGATGTTTCATCAAAGAAAAGTTCAAAAGGATCTCTTGACAGAGGTACGTTTTACGTACAACGCGTATAATGATAGTAATCTCAGACGTGTTTTAACATAAGCTTTTTATTCAGATATTGCTCTTTCACAGCTTGAAAATGAGAAAAGATCCTCTTTCATCAAGGCATGGGAAGAAAGTAAAAAAAGCAAAGTGAACAACAAGTAGGATTTTCAAAACTTTCAATATATGTGTAGCATAAATAATCAACGCGTAATCGTTTTTTTAATTATTGAGTAGGGCACAAAAGAAGCTCTCTGCAGTTGCAACATGGGAGAAAACTCATACAGCAAAGCTTGAAGCTAAACTGAAACAACTTGAGGTAACTATACTTAGAGTCCGACTATACTATACGTGCATCAAAATACTTTTTGAACATTTTCTGTGTTTGATAGGATCAACTAGAGCATAAGAAAGTAGAATACGCGGAGAAGATAAAAAATGAAGTAGCGTTGATTCGTAAGGAGGGAGATGAGAAGAGAGCCGAGGTTGAAGCGAGACGAGGGGAAGAATTACTGAAAGCAGAGGAGAGAGCAGCAACGTATCGCGCTACGGGGCAAACCCCTAAGAAGAAGCTTCTTGGATGCTGTAGTTGTTAATCATGGTATGAAGATTATGAAAAAGTAACTTTGATTATAGTAAATTTCATGTTGCTGTTTTTTTTTAATGTGTGTTCTATTCTATAATGAGTGTGCAATTTGGTTCTCCATGTTTTCTACTCTGCATATCAAAACTACTCATGTTGAATGAAGTGTCAAATCTCAATTTTATCTTGCATTTCTATAAGATGTTACTTTCACAGCGATCTCAGTGGCAGAGCAACACCGGTCGACACTCCTTCGACGGAAAATTATATTGTATAGCTAGAATTTTTTTATGTATATCTATATTAGATACTGACACTTCTTGGCTTCTGTACGATTTTATTTCTTTATATTTTGACACCCCCTAAAATCAAATTCGTGAACTCATGGTCACATGGCAGTAACTTTACTCAATAGTTCAAGGCACCGCTTTCTAATGCAACTTCAACTAAAGAAGAGAAATTTGGTTTTCTAAGGATTAGCTATCCAAAATAAGTCCTCACAATATGGAGAGACTTTTACAAACAATCAATCAGGCCAAGAGACGTAAATTTCAAAACATTGCAATATAGAGAGCACTAATTTAGTGCATTATATAAGTTTTAATAATGGTTTAAGCTTAATGATGCTTATGGTTAATAGACTTATAACTTTTAATAGTGCACCAAATAAATGTGTATATGGACAGAATTTTAGGAAAACTTTTGGCCAAATTCATTAATTGGAAACTTTTAAAAATTTTAGAAATTACCCCGAGTTTTAATATATATTTATTAGAAACACTCGTCATCTATAATTTTAGGTTAAATTTTGTTCCTAATTCGTTATAAAAATTTTATGAAATGATACACATATTTATATTGTTTTTACAAGTAATAATAGTAGTTTTTTTTTTTGTCGAAATCAATTTTATTTTTCTTTTATTTTCTTTCTGTTTTCACAATCTTAACTGTTGTGCTCACTGTCACGACTTTCACATAACA